ATACATGTAATTGTGTCTGCAGGTGTGTGTATACACATGGCGGCTAGAGGTCAAGCTTTGGTGGCTGGTTGGTGACCTCCAGGCATCTTCCTGTCTTCTCCTTCCTAGAGATAGAATTAAGACCTGTCTTACCACACCTGGCTCTTACCATGGCTGCTGGGATCTGAACTTGGGTCACTAAGCTTGTGCAACAAACACTTCACTGAAGGAGCCACCTTTGCAGTCTTTTCTATGTTTAAACTATGTATAAGTTTTTCTGTGTGTAAACTTTGCAATCGAAAACTATGTACTGCTTCCTTTCTTGGATGTCTTCTTTTTCCTGCTTGTTCCTCAGGTTAGAATTCCCAATATTCCATTGAAGAAAAATGGTAAAAGGTCACAGAGATGGAACATTTGCTTATGGGAGGAGAGCAAATGAAAGAGAAAAGTCAAGATTGTCCTGGAAGGCTTTAAAGGGGGAGGCAGTGACTTAAAGCACTTAGGGCACACACTTTAGAATAAAAACAGATCATTTGTTTTGTACTTAGTGATGTGGCCTGGGACAAGTTACTTGTATTTTTAGTTTAATAGTTTCACCTTCAAAGTAGACACAGTACCACTTTCATCATTTGCTTTGAGGTTGGGCAAGAACAAGAATATGACCTGGGTATTCAAGTACTTAGTTATGTCCTGGACATGGAAAAAGTTCTTTTGATCTTTTCAAAATTGAGAGCCCTTTATTTGCATGTTAACAGAGAAGAAAATGCTATGCTTTTTAATTATGTTAACTGTGTTGTGTGTTGACAAACATTGAGTACATATGCTTTTTAAAAAAATATTTTCCCCATGTGGCTGTGTGGCTGTGTGAGGTGTGCTCCCCACAGTACACAGTGGGGATTGAAGACAGGATAGCTCATCTGCTAGGAATGGTGTCTGCCACTCACTGAGCACATCTTCAGTCCCAGTTTCCTGTTGTATAGCAGTTCTTTTCAAAACAACAACAAAATCCCCAGCAAAAACCTCCCTAGTGTGCTTAAAATTCAAATGTTTAAGTGTTGTTCTGTTTAAGAATTCTAGTTTTTAAATCCAAACTTCACAGCAGTAGCTTGCCTTGATAAAGATAAAAACATGCAGTAGTATAATAACTTTATGCTAGTTTGTGTGTTTGTGTGTATGTACATATGAGTGCAGGTGACCTTGGAGGCCAGAGGCATTGGATCCTCCTGGAGCTGGCATCATAGACAGTTATGAGCTCCTGAAGTAGGTTCTGGACACTGAATTGTGTCTTCTGTAAGAGCAGTGTATGCTCTTAACTGTTGAACCATTTCTCTAGTCCCAAGTTAACAGAATTTTAAAAACATTATTTGCTGTCATTTGTAGAATATAAATGTGTCTTTAGATATGTTCTTTGTTTTCTTCATTAAGACTTCAGTATTTCAGGTTCCTGTAAATAAAGCTATTAAAACCAACTTCAGTAACTATTTTACCTTTAGAGTATTTCTAGCTAGCCAGTGAGTTCCTGGTGTCTTCCTAGCCTTGCCTTCCCAGTTACTAGCATGACAGATGTGTACTACCACACCTGACACATACTTTTGCCTACTTGTTTAAGGAGCAGATATTCATTTCCCAGTGCCAGAAGATCTTAGATTATCTCATTCACTAAAATAAAACAACGAAGAGTTACTTGTAAAGAACATACCTTACTTTGTTTTCTTTCTTATATCTTGGAAATGCAGCTCTGTCACTGTTTTTCCTTCTGTATAACTGAGTTATTTTAACTTTCCCAAAATAGCTCATGTCTTAACGCAGCTAGCTGTAATGCTAGATTTCCCCCCAAGAGAAAGCAAGTTTCCTCTCCAGTTAGCCGTTTGTCAGCTCCTTTGGTTGTTTCTGCTGATAACTTTATTTTCACGACTGTTTCTAGCAGTCTTAATATCTTTAAAAATACCCAAAACCAAAACCAATAGTATTGGCAGTCTGTTTAGTGTTACTGCCAAATTACTGTTCTTATTAATTCATGCCAGACACACAGCTATATATAACTTTGAAAATATTTCACCTTTTCATCTTCACGGTAGAGAGTGGTAGAATTGTGTTTTACCATTTCTCAGATCTCTTAGGCAGTTTCAGAAGAACGGAGATCCAAGTATAACATGCTTTTTAAACTGGGCACTTGCTAGGAGGCCTGGAAGCGACTCCCAATGAATGACACAGTAAGGAGCTTCTGAGTTTTGTCTTGTTGATAAAGTACTGTTGTGTCACACTGTATAACTGTGTGTGGAGTCAAATTAACCAAAACTGTACTGCAGTGATTTAGATAACTCAATTTGTATAAACTGAAAAAGATAATCTTTCTTTTGCAGCTCACAGAAATTTGATCCAACGAGTTGAGGCTAAAAGATATGTGCATAGTACGCAGAGTGAGATGAGGGAGTTTAATGATTCATGTTATGACGAATTACTAGAGGAAAAGTAGAACTTGAAAGCCAGTAGGACAAGGTAATAGATGTTAACAAAGAGAATTGTATTCCTTTCATATGTATTTATTTATACTTCCTCTGTCTTTTATGCTAGTAAGTTATCTTCTTGAATCAAATGATGTCACTGTTCTAGGCATACCTCGTACGTAGTTCAGCCTTATGGTTAGAATTCTTATCAGGTAGCTCTTATTTGTAAGAAGTAGTCCCAGGAAAGGACTTTTGTTGACCTAGTTTAGAATGTGTGCCTTTTTCAGTGACCAAGGAATGGGATTTATTTCCTATGACCAGGGAATGATTGCTTCATTAAGCAAGGATTGCTCATTGTGCAAACAGAAAGCATTAATAGTATTTAAAAGGATCAAGGTTTGAACTTATTAAAAGTAGACAGAAATTCCTATATGTTATTTGTGATGGACAAAAAGGTGTTTTGTTTCTGTTGCTTCCAAGCTCTAGTCTTTTGCCTAATCTATTTTGATTTAAAGAAAAAAAGCCAGCCGGGCGGTGGTGGTGCACATCTTTAATCCTAGCACTCCGGGAGGCAGAGGCAGGTGGATCTCTGTGAGTTCAAGGCCAGCCTGGTCTACAGAGAGAGATCCAGGAAAGGCGCAAGGATACACAGAGAAACCCTGTCTCGAAGAAAAAAAAAAAAGCCACCATACATTGAGTTGACCAGTGATTGGTGCCTACTGTGTTCTAGGCAGTGGAATTCCAAAGAGAAATGAAACAAGTCTCTGAAGATGATCTTAGAGATAAATATATCAGAAAATTTCCTAACTTATGCTACTAAACATTTCACTTTACTGATAGCTCATATTCCGTTACATTTCAGTTTTTATGTGAATTTAGAAGATGATACTCTTATGGTAAATAAGCTTCACAGATTTTCACAAAATGAATACATTAGTGAAGTCAGCTCTCAGAGTAACTGCTAGATACAGCGTGTCCACTAACTGCCTAAAAGAGAGTGTATTCCGGAAAGATAACTTGGCATCTTTCAGGGCTTTGGACCCCAAGGGTTTCTTGCTAATAAACATTGTAGCTGTTGTTTTTTTATTTTTTTTCTAAAAAATAATGGTTTCTATGGCATTGTAACTGAAGGCTAGGAGTACCATTATACTAACAGTGAAGGTGTTCCCTTGTTAGTTTTTAAAAGTGCTGTGGAATATTTTGCAATTCTAAATTATTTTTCATGTAAAATCTCAAGTTTTAATAAACATTTGGTAATTGTTAAGTGTTTCTTGTGGTAATAGTGATTTGGGTTGTGGAACTGTAACTGATTTTGGTACTTGTCAAATCCTCTTCTGTTGAATACAGTGAGGATAAGGGCTCCATGCAACAATAGCTTTGAAGCGTAAATTATGTTTGAAGCTTTCTGCAAAGAAAATTGTGTAAAAATTGTTGTGAATATAATAGAAACCGTTGCACAACAGGCAGATGTCTTATTAATTAAAGTGTCTCATAGGTGTCTTCCTTAGTATACTTCAACTTTTTGTATATTTTCTTACTCCTATTACATCTCAATTACATCAGTAATTGAGATTTAATATTTAGTTTTTAAAGATTCTTATTTGCTTGTAGTTTAAATATAACGGAACTCCTTTTTGTAAATGTATTTTTTCTGAATATTTAAATTTTTTACATATATTATTTGTGTGTGTGGGCAATGCATGTGGAGGTGAAAACACTACAAGAGTCTCTCCTTCCACCAAGTGGCTTAAGGGGATTGATCTCATCCCTACCTGCCAAGCCATAATACTGGCCTGTTTTCCCTGGCTATTTTAAAGACATTCAATTATTTGAAATAGTTACCTGCTTTTAAGATGTACCAAAAAGTGTCATTATATCTTTCTAACATGAGATTATGTATCATTTACCCATTTTTGCACTTTTAGAGGAAAAAGGTTTGAGTTAACTTTAAATAGGTGGACTAGAATGTGTCTTAGTCATAGACTGACTGTCTGGCGTGAGCATGGCCTTAAGCTTGATCCCCAGCACTTCATTAAAAATAAATTTCAAAAGTTACAAAAAAAAAAAGTCAAGTAGCTCTGTTTCTGAAAATATTAGTATTTTTTTCACAATTAAACAAATCATTAAGAATATTGCTTGGTAACAATGTAAATTTCCATTAAATACCTTCATTAATATACCTTGCTAAAAATAGTATAAAAGATAACTAGGACTTTGCTTACTTGTGTATTTTGCCTCATGATTTTAGGGTCTAGTTCATCATGGAAGACAAGGCATGGCTTGAAGGTCTGCTCTGGCTGCTGCAGTGGTAGATTTTTTTTTTTTAGGGTCAGGGGTCTTTTAAGACAGGGTCTCATGTAGCTCAGAATGGCCTAGAACTCACTTTATAGTACAAGCTGTTCTTAAACATGCAACAGTCTTCCTGTCTCAGCCTCTTAAATGTTTTATTTTTTAAACTTATAGACCTTGGCCAAATGACTGACTGAATGGGAGAGCAATATCAGATCTTTTTAAAATGGTTGATTGCTATGTAAACGAACTTTGATGTCATGCATCAATTTTTATCTTTTAAAGGAAGGTGCATCTGCCCGTAAGACTCAAACTCCTGCAGCCCAGCCTGTACCTAGACCAGGTAAAAATATAAAAATTTATTTTTTTTTCTAGATGGTCGTAAAAATGAATGTTTTTGATGTATAGTAATCTGAAGAAATCATTGTGTCACTTAAAATATACTGAAAGACCATTTTTCTTCAAATTAATCATCAGTATTCCTTAAGCAGATCTTAAACTGTGGTAATATACACAAAATACTTAATAAACTCTGCCAGCATCATTATTCTTTATATTCTTAGCAGAAAAAGTTAAAGAAGTTAAAATGAATAGTTTGCAGAATCTTTGAAGTCTAAATTTTTAATATTATTTACTGTACTATCTTTTCCTCAATTTGAGTTAAACTTTTGATTACTTATTTTTGGCAAAAGTATCTTAAGGAAGGCAGAGGTACAGTTCATCATCATAAGTTTCTGTGGCAGGCCCTTCAGGAAGATGATCACACTGCACCCATGCAGGAAGGAGAGGTGGGTGTGAGTAGTGGGCTCAGTTAGCTTTCTCTTCTTCATGTAGTATAGGATCCTAGTGCCTGAAGTAGTGCCGTCTACATTCAGGGAGAGGCTTCTCACCTCAGTTCATGTGATTTAGCTAATCTCTTACAGACATTTCCAGAGGCTAACATAATCTAGACAGTCTCTCAGATATAACTGAATGCTTGTCTCTTAGGTGATTTGAGATCAACCATCACAGAAATCATCAGTAAAATAAGTGATGGGACGTTACATAACAGTAACATGTAAACTTACACTGTGAGGACATTTGTTTGAGTAATTTGTTTTAGGTGAAGAGTTATAGAACATTTTTAAGATGATTGTTTTTATTTTGGTTAAGATTTGTTTCCAAGGCTATTTACATATGTATTCCTTTACTTAGCAATTCTTCGTTTTAGGTTCATGATATTTTTGGTTGTGAGCCTAGCTTTTAATGATTGAGCCATCTCTCCAGCTCAGATTCATGATATTTTATGCAAATGTAGATTCTTTTTTCCTACAGAAGTTCAGCATGTGTTGGTGAGCACTTAGAAGTTCCACAATCATTTTTGAAAATAGTTGGTAAGGAAGGGTACTATTGAAGTTATTTTAGAGTTTATTTCTTCTCGGTATCTAAAAAACAATTTTTGCTAATTGATGTAAACACTAATAGTGTATTTATAACTATTTCTGTGTAATCTTTGCCAGAATTAGGAGAAGCTAAAGAGCGCTATGTAGGAAGAAGAAAAAGTGAAGTAAGTGGGAGTGACAGATGACTCGGGTCCAAAGAATAGTGTGCACGAAGTCCAGGTCCACTGTAGAAGGAAGCAGCTATGTGACTTCTTGGGAAGGGAAGGATAGCAAGTTTTGGTTTGTCAGTCTAATGATGATCACATAAGAAATTTAGAAATTACAAAAGAGGTAAAACAAGACAAAACAGATCACCTTGAGATTCTCATCCATTTTTGTATTCTGTGAATTAATATGAACTCATAGTTTTCCAAAATGAGTATACTAAACAAAGGCATAGAAGGAAGTTGCTGATATGTAATAAGTCACTTTACTCAAGTGTGGTGTGTGTAGAAATGGAAGTTAGGGGTATTGAGGTTTGAATGTGAAATGTCCTAATAGTCTCATGTGTCTGAGATACTTGTTTACCAGAAGGGGATGATGCTATTTGGGAGAGTTGTGGAACCTTCATAAGTTGAGGAAGGTGGGCCCTGAGGCTTGATATCCTGGCCCTACTTCATGTTCACTGTGTACCTACTGAGTGTGGATGCAATGTGACCAACTAACTTGCTTTCTCCTCCATGCCTCCCTTGCCTCCTGCTGTGTCCTCATTGCCCTAATGGGCTGTATCTCTTTGGAACTGTAAGCCAAAATAGACCATTTCTCCCTTAGATTGCCTGTGTCAGTTTTTTTTTTAAACAGTATGTCTGTGAGTATGTATGTGTGCACACTGTGCATTCCACAGAGCACATATATAAGTCAAAGGCCAATTTTAGGGGAGTTGTTTTTCTCTTTTTATTGTGTGTTCTGGGGATCGAACTTAGGTTGTTCTGCAGAGCCAGCCATTTTGTTTGGCCTTGTCTAGGGTATTTTTTCAGAGGAACAGGTTAATTATGAAAAGAGGGTTGTGTTCTAGTTAACGTGACAATCATATGTGAAATACCAGGTTCTGAAAATTTCAACTCTTAATTATCCTGTGCTTTTTTATGCGCTCTACAAGTACACTGAAGGTTTAACTAATAGAAGGAATTAAGTCTAATCTATAATATCTCAGATATTCCCTTGCCCATACATGTGAGATTTCTGCCCTTTTTTTTGGTCAGGGTATTCTGTAGCCTAGACTAGCCTTAAATTCAGTATGTAGCTGAGGTTGACCTTGAACTCTTAATCTTTCTGTCTCAAGTGTTGGCATAGCAAGCACACACTATCATGCCTTGCCATTTACTCTTTTGGTTATTGTTGATTTGAGATAGAGTCTTGCTTCAAACTTGATCCACCTGCATTAGCTTTCCTAGTACTGGTACTATAGGCATGCTTTATTGCATTTGGCATCATTAATATTTGACATCCATATACCCACAAGCCTTACCCACCATTCTGAAAGAAATGTAGATTTCAGTACTAGATTGGCCTTAAGAACCAGTTTCAATGGATGTTTGTAGCTTGGAGTCTTTATGTGTCCTAATTATTTTTGTGAATGCTTTTGTTCTATAGAAATATTTGTTAAATGATATTTCCCAACTTGAAGGGATTATTGTTTAATATTTGACATGTCTTTACTGTTTTTTAAATCTGGGGGAAAAAATGAGAATACCCCAAACACACCTGACAGTTTAATATAATAGATGGGGACAGAATAGAATTGTAGTATTTTTTCAGGTCGGGTTTAGAACATTTGGAAATGTGGAATGAACTACTTAGTCTCCACTTGGATTAAGGACGTAAAGGATGGAATTCCATTTCTGAGCAATTAAATTTATTTTTTAACTTATCTTTGTCAAATATTAGTAATATCGTACCAGAAAAATCCCTAGATATATGTCACCTTTTAAAGTGTTTAACTAAAAATTTCAGATCTTTAACAAATTTTGGAAAGTAGCTAGCTAACACTGGTCATGTGTTTTCTAGTGCATCGAGAAATAGTCTTAGATAAGCCATAACTCCACTGGCATCTCCTTAAATCATTTGCCTTTATCTCACCTTTTTTTTTTTTTTTGGTTTTTCGAGACAGGGTTTCTCTGTGTAGCTGTGCGCCTTTCCTGGATCTCGCTCTGTAGACCAGGCTGGCCTCGAACTCACAGAGATCCTCCTGCCTCTGCCTCCCGAGTGCTGGGATTAAAGGCGTGCGCCACCATTGCCCGGCTTATCTCACCTTTTTAATGCATCACCAACCATATTCAACTTTTCCACCCTAAAATCTTCATTATCTATCTATCTATCTATCTATCTATCTATCTATCTATCTATCTATCTATCTATCTATCTATCTATCTATCTATCCATCCATCCATCCATCCATCCATCCATCCATCCATCCATCTATCTATCTATCATCCCGTCCGTCCGTCCGTCCGTCCGTCTGTCTGTCTGTCTTCCATTGATGTTTCACGTGCATGTATGTCTGTGTGAGGCTGTCAGATCCCCTGGAACTGGAGGTAAAGACAGTTGTGAGCTGCCATGTGGATGCTGGGAATTGAACCTGGGTCCTCTGGAAGAGCAGATAGTGCTCTTAACTACTGAGCTATCTCTCCAGCCCATCATTTAAGTGTCTTTATAGAGTGGAGATATTAATCCCTGTCCAGTGTGCAGCTGACAAAGGTTTCCCATCTTTTTTTTTTTTTTTTGGTTTTTCGAGACAGGGTTTCTCTGTGTAGCTTTGCGCCTTTCCTGGGACTCACTTGGTAGCCCAGGCTGGCCTCGAACTCACAGAGATCCGCCTGGCTCTGCCTCCCGAGTGCTGGGATTAAAGGTGTGCGCCACCACCGCCCGGCTAGGTTTCCCATCTTATAGGCCGTTCCTTCTGCTGTCCTCATTGCTGTGCAGAAGCCTTTCATTTTATGTAGTCCATTTACCAGCTGAGATTGGTTTCCGAGCTTTCCTGTGCCTGAGTCCTTAACATTTTATATCTTCCCTTAAGGTCTTCAATTCATTTTGAGGTTTTTTTGGGGGGTGGGGAGAATATATAGGGTGAAAGTAGGGGACTACATGTGGATATTTCCTAGCACCTTTTTTTTTTTTTTAATGAGACTTATCTTCTCCAATGTATGTTTTTTATACCTTTGTCATATTAGGTGGATATAACTGTGTGGGTTTATTTCTTTTTTTTTTTTTTTTTTTTTTTTGGTTTTCCGAGACAGGGTTTCTCTGTGTAGCTTTGCGCCTTTCCTGGAACTCACTTGGTAGTCCAGGCTGGCCTCGAACTCACAGAGATCCGCCTGGCTCTGCCTCCCGAGTGCTGGGATTAAAGGCGTGCGCCACCACCGCCCGGCGTGGGTTTATTTCTTATTCCTCCATTCTGTTCCTTTTCTCTACATATGGTTTTTTTTTTGTGTGTGTGTTGGTACCATATAGTTGCTGTTACTATGACTTTGTATTATGACTTGAAACCAGGTAATTATTATTTTTGGTCATAATTTTTATGGTTAGTCAAGGACTTTTATGTTTCCATATGAAATTTAGGATTTCTTTTTTCTTTAGTTCTGTAAAAAAAAATATCATTGGAATTTTGATGAGAATCGAATTGAAACTAGATTACTTTTGATTGTGTAGCTGTTTCCACAATATTAATTCTGGAAATCGATGAGCATACCACATAGAGTTCTTAATGTGCCCGCTAAGTTTTTGTTTAATTAAGTTTATCAACATGAGTTTCACCATGTCCCTGCTTTGGTGCTTCTAAGGAACCTATTACCACTTTTTCTGTAGTTATTTGATCTAAACTTTTGAACTTTACTTACATGTGTGAGCTCTGAAAACATTTCTTTTTCTTGTAGTTGGTCTCCTGAGCCCTTATTTTAGTAAATGTTGCTTTACAATTCTGGGTCTATATGTAGATTTCCTTAGTAGAAACGAAAGAAATCTGACTGAAATGACATTGAGATAGATTCCCTCCCTCATGTCCTTCTCATAGCATCTTTTCTCTTTTTTGTGCCCATATTTCTGTTTAAAATATCATCAGTTTACCCTCCACCAAATGCTATTTCCTAAGACTGTATTATATACCTGCTGTGGGATGTTCTGTATGGCAAATGTGTTGCTCTGATTGGTCAATAAATAAAACACTGATTGGCCATTGGCTAGGCAGGAAGTGTAGGCGGGACAAGGAGGAGAATAAAGCTGGGAAGTGGAAGGCTGAGTCAGAGAGACACTGCCAGCCGCCATGATGAGAAACAGCATGTGAAGATGCCAGTAAGCCACAAGCCATGTGGCAAGGTATAGATTAATGGAAATGGATTAATTTAAGCTGTAAGAACAGTTAGCAAGAAGCCTGCCACGGCCATACAGTTTGTAACCAATATAAGTCTCTGTGTTTACTTGATTGGGTCTGAGAGGCTGTGGGACTGGCGGGTGACAGAGATTTGTCCTGACTGTGGGCCAGCCAGGAAAACTCTAGCTACATATACCAGATAATATGATCTAGCTACTCAGATTTATTTGTGGTCCTAGAAATTAGTCAAGAAAGCTTGTGTATTTCCTTAGGAAGAGGAAAAATGAAATTATTACAAATGTGTATGTGAGAGCCAATCTCTGTAATGTTGGAAAGATCATACAGTGTACTCTATTGTAACAACAAAATAACTATGTGGAGTATAAAGAATTTGTTAGGATGTAGCATCTTGCTCCCTAAAGAATGCATTGTATTTCAAAAAATATTTATACTCTTGTGATTCACTTACAGCTGGCAGCTGTTTCTAAATCTGACATCAATTTGAATGTTTTCCTTACTATCCATCATTCCTTAGTTTAATTCTGTTACACATAAGGAATGGTTTTGAAGTGGCTAACCTACAATTCCATGTGGAATAACTGTATTGGCTAGATAGTTTTCAGGTAGTTTCTTTTGCATTTCGTCTTAGAGCCCCCACTGACTTCCAGTTTACTTGTGTTAGCACCTCTTTTCCCTCCCCTCCCCTCCCCTCCCCTTTCCAGGTGGTTCTCATGTAATTACAGTACATTTTGATTCTATTACCACATTCCCCAGTCTATCCTGAGATCTTTGTACTCTCCTAAATGATTTGTGTTTTAAATGTTACTGTCTATTCTTTCATTTTCCTGTGAAGTTCCTTGGTCTTGTTAAGTGCTCACTGTTTTGTGTTCGCCATCATAGCATCATGCAGAATAAATTTTAAAATTAAACCCACTAGAATCCATGTGACACAGAAAGCATTTCAGAAGATGTTGTATAGGTAAATAGTAAAACTGAATACGAAGCACTATTTATTCTCTTTTATAAATCATGAATTAAGTTAATGCTGTCTGCTAACAAATATTTCTTTGCTGCTACATGTAGAATAATAAAACCAGAAATATTTGTGTTTCATAATGCAACCACAATTACCACTAATGAAGTCCTTTACCGACATTATAGATTAAATAGGTTTTTCAGAGATAGTTAACTCACTGCTTTTAATGGTCTTTCTCTAATCAAAAATCATTTAAAGAGAGAAAAGAATTTAAAAACTATTTCAGATCTTAATCCCCAGTAACTTCTTTCTCTTTTCTGTTTTCCTATCCTGAATCTACTGTGTTAAATGTTCTTTTAGTAATCAGCTTTTACATTTATAACAGTTAATCAGTGTATTATAAAACTATTTTCTTTATCAGATCCAGGCATCCATGAACTAGATAATTAAACTGTTATATTTATTTGTTTCTTTTTTAATTAATGTATTTATTCTATTATTCATTTCTTATACTAAATTGTTGAGTAATGCTACAGCATTTTAATATTTGTAAAAAGCAGAGGTGTAAAATGTGGGATTTCTTGTGGTTTACCACCAGTCATGTGAATATCAGTAATGTTTAAGCTTCCTTTATAATTTGGAAATAATGTTTGTTTTAATAACAACTGAGATTTTTGTTTTTTCTGTTTATAGTTTCTCAAGCAAGACCACCCCCAAATCAGAAGAAAGGTATGGTATGATTGTGTCTTTGGTTTATTTTAGGAGGTGAAATAGGTTTCAAAACCAGGGCTAATATGCTTGTGTACCATTATTGGGTGTATCTGCTTGGTATCTTTACTTGGCAGGAAATAAGCCACATGAGTGGCTTATTAAATGTTTTTGCCATTATTGCAAATTTAAATTTTAAATTTATTTTAAAATATTTTGGCATGAAAGAATTAAGGTTATAAATTTAAAATTATTTTAATACAGAAAGTAATTCCTTTCAATAATAATAATGTAATGATTTTTTTTTAATCTTTAAATTTTTCCTTTACAGGATCACGAACACCCATTATTATCATCCCTGCAGCTACCACTTCTTTAATAACTATGCTTAATGCAAAAGACCTTCTACAGGATCTAAAGTAAGTAATTTATACTTTTTTTTCTGGTTTTTTTTTTTTGGAGACAGGGTTTCTCTGTTTAGCCTTGGCTGTTCTGGAACTCTCTCTGTAGACCAGGCTGGCTTTGAACAAAGAGATCAGCCTCTTCTGCCTCTTGAGTACTGGGATTACAGGTGTGCACCATCACCACTAACTTATAGTTTTGTTTTTTTTTAATTTATAGTCTTTAAATAATTTGATAAACTTGTTCCTTGTAAGACACTGCTGGTGTCACTATGTAAGTTTAATTTTTTTTTTTTGAGATTATAATATAATTAAATCACTTCCCTTTCCCTTTCTTCCCTCCAAACCTTCCCATGGCACTACATTTTCTTCATTGTAAAAAATTTACCTCATATACTATTGTCTGATTATGCTTTTCCTCTCCTCAAATGCTTCCCAGGTTCTGCCCATCGTCTCACCCACCCAGTGCCATGGTGGGTGGGCGTGTCTGTCTGTCTTGTCTCTCTATAACAAACAAACAAACAAAAAAACCCATACAAAAATGGAAACCAAAATGTACAAACAAAAGACCAGTAAGACAGAATGTCTAAATAAAGCAAAATGAGCCAAAAAGTATACAAAAAGACCATTTTACTCCTAAGCATGGGGCCCACCCTGATGTGTGGTTAATATACCGAGCTATATGCCATTGGATAAAACCTTTGCCATTAGGTATCAATTGCAGACAGCTTCTTGTTTAGGGGTGGGAGCCCATGTCCACTTCCCCCTCTCAGCACTGGGACCCCTTCTGGCTTGAACCTGTGCAAACCCTGTGCTTTCTGCAACCATCTCTGTGAGTTTATATGTGTATCAGAAATGTGTATGGAAGACAGGTTCCTTGGAGTCACCCATCACATAGCCTCTTGTAATCTTTCCATACATCATCCTTGAACTCTAGGGGGACAGGTGTGATAAAGACATCCCATTTGTGACTTAGTGTTCCAAAGTCTCACTCTCTGCACATTGTCCACTTGTAGGTCTCTGTGTTAGTTTCCATTTACTGGAAAGAGAAGTGTCTCTGGTGATGGCTGACTGAGGCACTGCTCAACGGGTATAGTAGAAAGTCATTAGTAGTCTGTATTAGTTGCTTCTCTGTTGTGATGAAACACCATATCTAAGGTTACTTTTCTCTCTCTCTCTCTCTCTCTCTCTCTCTCTCTCTCTCTCTCTCTCTCTCTCTTCTTTTTTTTTTTTTTTTCCTTCGAGACAGGGTTTCTTTGTGTAGTTTTGGCACCTGTCCTGGATCTTGCTCTGTAGATCAGGCTGGCCTCAAACTCAGAGTTCTGGCTATGCCTCCCAAGTGCTGGGATTAAAGACATGCAACACTGCCACCCAGCCCAAGGTTACTTTTAAAGTAAGCATTTAATTGGGGGCTTGCTTACAGTTTCAGAGGGTTAGTCTATGACCATCATGGCTGACAGCATGGTGTCAGTTGGCAGGCAAGCGTGACTCTGGAGCTGTAGTAGCTAAGAGCTCACTTGTCATCCATAAAATGCAGGTAGAAAGAAAGAGCGTGACCTAGCCTTGCATGGGTTTTTGAAACATCAAAAAGCCCATTCTCAGTGACACACCTTGTACAACAAAGCCACACCTACCTATTCCAGCAAGGTCAAGCTTAGTAATTTTTCTAAAACAGTTCTAACAGCCGGAGTTCACAAATTCAAACATAGGCTCCTATGGGGACCATTCTCATTCAAACCACCACAGAGTCATTTTATTGCTATGTTCTTTTAGCAGAATAATAGTATTAGGTTTTCTTATCCAGTCTCAGAATCTTGACCACTCTAGCAGTTTGATCTGGATTTAACTTTGGTAGATCAATAAATTTATCCACTTCTTTGAGGATTCCCGGTTTGATGGAGTACAGATTTTTAAAGTATATTCTCAGGATTCTGCCGATTTCCTTGATATCTGTTATATTGTACCCCTTTTCTCTCTAATTTTATTAATTTGTATCTTATTCTCACTGTGTCTTAGTTTAAGTTGGCTAAGAATTTATCAATGTTAATGATATTCTCAAACAAGCGTTACTTTCATTAATTCCTTGTTTTTTATTTGTTTGTTTCTATTTCATTGATTTCAGCCCAGAGTTGGATTATTTCTTGTTGTCGTGTGTTATTTCTTCTTGTTCTAGAGCTTTCAGATGTAATATTACGTACTAATATAAGATCTCTCCATTTTTTTTATGTAAGCACTTAGTGCTATGAACTTGCCTCTTTGAACTGCTTTCATTGTGTCCCATAAATTTTGTTATGCTGTTATAATTTTCATTCAATTCTAAAAAGTTTTTAATTTTCTTCTTTATTTATGTCTTGACCCATTTTTCTTTCCATAGTGAGTTCTGTTTCCATGAGTTTGTATACTTTTTGTTGTTGATATGCAGCTTTAATTGATGGTGGTCAAATAAAATGCAGGATGTTTCAGTTTTTTTGTATTTGTGGAGATTTGGGCTTTTAGAGTCTCCATGGGGAAGTCAGATGTTATTCTTCGTTCTTCCATTATGTTATGTGGCCTTTTTACTATTGCAGCTTTTAATATCATTTCTATGTTCTGTACATTTAGTGTTTTGTTTATTATGTGTTGTGAGGAAATTTCTTGTCCTGTCTATTTGGTATTCTGTATATTCTATATGTTCCTGTACTTTGATAGGCACCTTCTTGGTTAGTTTGGGGACATTTTTGTTAAAAATATTTTCTGTGCATTTGGCTTGGGTCTTCTTCTTCCTCTGTCCCTATATTCATAATTCATAGATTTGATATTTTCATAGTGTCCCAGATTTATGGATGTTTTGAGCTTTTTTTTTTTTTTTTTTTTTTTGCCAATTTAACATTTTCTTTGACTGAGGTAAACATTTTTTCCACCTTGTCTTCAAGACTCAAGATTCTCTCTTCCATCTCTTGTAATCTGTTGGTGAGACTTAACCTCTGAGGTTTTTCTTTAATATCCTAATCTTTTCTTTCCACTTGGGTTTTCTTTAGTGATTTCTATTTCTTACTTAAATTCTACTTTTCTGTCTTGAATTGTTTTCATCATTTCATTCAGCTGTTTTTACAGACTTTATTAAAGGATTTATTTATATCTTCTTTAAGAACCTTGAGCATATTTATATTTGCTGTTTTGAAAGCCTTGTTTGTGATTCAGCTATATTGTATCTCTAAGGGCCTACTATAATAGGATTCACTGGCTTCTGGTGGAAGCACATTGTCTCTACTGTTCTTTTCTTTCTGTGCTTGTGTCTAGGCAGCTGGAATTGTGATGTTTGAGGTGTTTCTTGGTGCTTCTTGTTGGGTGTATGGTCTGTTCTTTGGTTGCTGTTGTCCTTAGATCCTAGGCAAGTGTGGTGGCTGTGGGTTCCCTGATAGAAATTCCTGCATTTGGGTGGGTGGTGTAAAGGAATGGAAATGGCTAGGACCAAAGACTGGGAAGGGCTGTGGGAAAGAGCTAGGGGTATTGGGTAGACATCAAGATGTGATGAGAAGGGGGAGTTCCTACAAGCAGGCTGCAGAAGGTCAAAAAAGAGTCTATAAAGAGATGGAGATGAAAGGGCTAGGGGTACCCTGGGTTTGCACCTAGAAATGGAGTCCCCAGTGAATTGAGATGGGGTTGAGGAGGGGCTCTTGCAAGCATGTTGAGACTAAGAGTAAGTCTGGTGGAGAGTGTAAAGGAGGTCAGGAATGAGACTAGCCTACCTGAGTAAATTCCAGCTATGTGTGGCCATTTGAGGGGTTGTGTCCCGGGTAGAAAGTGTTTCTGGGGATTGGTGGGTGACATAAATGGACAGAAAGCCTGAATGGAAGGCTAGAATGGCCATGTTCCTAGTGCTCAGGAGATCACGTGAGAGGGAGCCTGTGGGGGAATGGGTGTCTCCTTTCCACCTTCTAATTATTATGCAAATATATTCTTTCCATCATTGATAGTCTGTGAAATAGCATGTGGCTGCTCTTTTCTTTAGTTCTGTTTTTGTATTTCTAGAATTTTTATCTAGTTTTGGATTCTTCAGAGACCTGGGTTTGTTATATTTTGTAGCTAATACTGTAAATGTACTGTTTTAATCTAAACATTTGGTGTTGTAAATGAAAAAGAAAGAGGAGGGATGGGAAAATAGAGACTTGACCTAAAATTCAGCATTTGATTCACTCTGTGTGTGTGTGTGTGTGTGTGTGTGTGTGTGTGTGTGTGTGTGTGTATGGTGTGTGTGTATTGTGTGTTTTATGAGTCCAAGAGCAATGTGTATTTTTCTCAACTTTTAAATTCCTTGTTTAAGGTATAGATTATATTTCCTATGAGGCTGCCTTTTACTTGATCTTAGGATTTTTAAAAATTTACTCTTCGTATTTTTGAATTTAGTGATCTTTTAAAGCTCCTTCCAACTCTTTTATATGGTATTTATCTTAGTATGCTGTTAAGTCTAATATTTATAGTTTGAAGAGATAACAAAATGACCTTGTTTCCCTTTCTTATTAGCCTTACTACAGAGAAGCCAGTTAAATGGACCACACTTTTAGGATAGATTGTGTCCATTTTTTTCTTCCAAATTCAAAACATTTCTCTCATTGTTTAATGACTCATTGCAGTTGATGTCTCCTCTACTGATTGAGTCGGCTGGAGGCTTCACCATGCAATTAATGCATAATTGAAACCTCCTTGACACAATTATAGTACTGGCTGTGGCCCATAGTTCAAATTGGCATAGATTCTGTTTCGTTATATATAAAAGTAAGGATTCTTCTATCTTGTATCCCTTCACTGATAAATGAAGCAGAAACTAGAACTCAGCTCAACGTTTTACAGTCTAACTTTTAACACTCCTACCAAAATAAAGCTAATATTATAGAAGTGTCAAGAACGTGTTACTTCTGTTAGCATAATTGAGAGAAGATTGGTGGGACTACACAGTTATTTAGAGTAGAGTGCATAGATGGAAAGTGTTCTTCTGGTCATGGTGGAGTTCTCAGAAGGCAGAGTTACTTCCAAGAGGA